GGCCTCTCACTGCTGTGGCCTCTCCTGTTGCGGAGCACAGGCTCCGAGCGCGCAGGCTCAGCGGCCATGGCTCACGGACCCAGCCGCTCCGCGGCACGTGGGATCTACCCGGACCGGGGCACAAACCCGTGTCCCCTGCATCGGCAGGCGGACTCTCAACCAGTGCGCCGCCAGGGAAGCCCAACATTTTTAATCATAGTAAAATTATGAACTTTTGCTAGAAAAATGGGATTTTGAGACAGAAGTGCAAATTAAACTTACTTATAAAGGAAGTCTCTCCCAAATAGCCTCTACGTTTAAGCACGACATCTAGAAATTTGGAGTCCTCATTGATCATGTAATATTCCTTTTCAAAGGAGATCCATGCCCAATTCAGACTAAAATGCTGCTTGATTAACTTGTTTCCACCTGGAAAACAAAAATTTAAAGCCTCGAATTAGTGGTTTCTTGAATGAATAACCTTAGACATTCCAAAGACGACTTTAATGATGCAACATGACGAATCACTCTAGCTACTTGGTTTGATTCACAATCTAGGATACATACATGAAGATACATCTTACTGTTCACTGACTGTTATGCAGAAATACAACTGACATAATTCTTTGCAAAATCCCTTGATCTTTAGCAGGGGAAGTGGGTCAGAGGGAAGGAACACAGAACTACCAAAAGCAATTTTGTTAAATCATAAAGTCAAGTATCCAAGTTGCAGGATGACTCATTTCCCACAAGGTGCCGCTGGAGAGCAAGTTTTTCTATAAAGAAAGCTGCAGGGCTCTTCTGTGATGTTAAACACACACACACAACTTCACAAATACCTTTTTCTGGTTCACTGAGCAATTGGGTGGAAGGCTTTAATTATAACCACTTAAGGAAAAACAAATATCCCTTCTCCACCTCCCTTCCCCACTAGATTCCACTCCATTCCTTAAAGCAAACAGACAGGTCTTTTCATTGATTCCATTCTACTCTGAAGATAAGGCTTTCTCCTCCCACCTTCCCACCAAAATGGAGCTGGCGGTCTATCAGGAGAAAATGTGTGTGATCTCTCTAATGTGAAAGCTGCTCTGCTAGGTGAAAGAAAAGAGAAATGGTTATCAGCTGATCACTATGCATGTATCCCTCTACTTCCTTTGATCTACACCAATTATTTCAGAGTAAGGTGAGGTTTATACACAAAGGCATCAATAATTTCCTTTAAGTCTTTCTGTAAAAGGGAGAAAAAAGCCCAAATAATAAACACAGCTAAAGACACAATTTTAACTCCAGTTTCTTCTCTTCTGAGTTCACACAGGGCTACACTAGAGAAAAAGAAATGAGACAGGAAAACATCAAGGCTTTAACAGACTGAGAGCAAAAAAATCCACACGTGGGAAAGAAAACATAATTAACAAACACATGAAAAAAATGTTCATCTTTGCTAGAAATTTAAAAAAAAATTGCAGCGTCTTTGAGTTATGAATTGACACGTACTAAAGATTAAAATGAACACCCAGCACAGCCGAGATTATTTAGGGAAATTGGTTTTCTTATTTATTGCTGTTTAATTTGTAAATTAGCACCGAGCCATTGAGACAGCTACATGGCAATGTGTGCAAGAGACAAAAAGACGTTCATACCATTTGATCTTGTAAGTGCTTCTGTGCGAGAAGCAAAAATCTATTTGTAAGGGACTATTCATTGCAATATTTTCTATAATAGCCCTCAAACCAAAAATCTCAGAGTTTACTCTGTTTATGGTCCATCAAATCAATGAAATGCGATTCAGTCATTAAGCAAAAAAAAAAAAAAGAATTTTTTGTTGAAATACTTAAAACACAAAATATAGAAACGAATGGTATTGATACTGTGCATGCAGTGACGTAGTAACAGGAAACATTTCAAATATGGAGCTGGTTGGTGTTTTAAACTGATGGGATTACGGACCTGTCATTTTCGTTCATTTTAAAAATCTAAGATATAAATAGATTGGAGAACAGGAAATTCATTCCACATCTTGTCCTTAAGAACTTACTATGCCTGCCATGTCTTAGACACCGGGTACTGTTCTGGAGAGGAGGGGCCACGGGCTGGGGGCTACCCAGAACTGGAGTTCATAGCCCACTTCATTCTTATCTGCTGTCTGACTTTGAGCAAGTTTCTTCCCTAGACCTCTGTTTCCTCATCTGGAGAATCAAATGAGGGTCATATTAATTAATGCCTGTGTCTGCTGTGAGGATCAAGTGAGATAACCCATATACCCATGCAGTACAGTGCAGTACATACGTAGCATCCTTCAACAAAAGTTACCTTACTCCTTCCCGCTCACCCCACGCATGCTCAAGTCCACCCTGCACACCCACTGCCAGACTATTAACCTGCCTCAAATCCATCTACACTCAGTCCTCCTTTGCCCCGTCTCCGTACAGCTGCTGCACACATCAAGCCATCAGGCTATCCGTGCAGATTTCTGGTTTCACCTGTCCTGCCCTGTCTTCTTCCCACTGTCTCTAATCTGCTCACTCTGAGGTTCATCCAAGAGTCCTGCTGCTCCATGGATTTCCCACCCTCACCCTTTCTGTTACGTCTGTGCTTCTGCCTACAGCGATAACCCCCATCATTCTTCTGCTTGCACTTTCTACTCCTCAAAGGCTCCCTTTACCATCCCCTTCGTGAAGTCTCCTGCAGCGACCCCAGCCCTCTCATCTCTGTGATTCTGCAGTTTTTCACCTATTGATTATTTTGTGCAGTTTTGTGCTTTAGCAGATATCCTCTCATATTGTTTAATTGTACACATTTACTAATTGTACGCATTTTTGTCAGAGATTGACCGGCATGCATTCTTTTTACCATGCCAACACTTGGCCTTATTGTCTTTAAAAATACTTTTTTACATTATTGTGTTTATGTTCTATTACTGGGAACATTTCCTCTAGAAAGTCATAGACAAACAACAAGAACAGAATAACATTTAATCAATTAAGTTAATACATGAAACCTTTCTGATTTCTCAACTAATCATTGCTTGAAGACAACCTTATGCCACACTTCTCTCTCAATTAGATTGCGGCTCCACCAAGTCCTAGATTTTATTCCAAACTTCCTGTCATGCTCTACCAAGCCACTCCTGTCCGTCCAAATACCTACAGCTTCACATCCTATCACTTCTCCACGGAGAGAAACAGCTGGTCCTATCTAGCTTCTCACTGTTTTCTTCCCACATGCAAAAGCATGTGGGAAGTCTTCTGCCCAGAATATCTTTAGCTTCCTACTCCTCCTTGCAATTTGTTTAGGTCCAGCTCACCTAAAGCTCAGGGAGCCTGGCTTACCATGCAGTGTATACTTCTTCTGTATCTCCAATCAGAGTCATTGTAATTCTTTCATCTTCATGTGTATTCTGCCACTAACTGCCTGAGTGCACGTCCCCAGGACAAGTACTGGTCAAATTCATCCTTCTAGCAGCCAAATCGAACACAGTGCCTGGAACACGATGAGGTCTAAAGACGTCTTCCTTGACTAAAAAGCCTATGGATAAGTATGATTTTTGGTAATAAAATGGCTACTTTGTGACTCCTATTTCATTCCTTATTTCATAACAGCTCTCAGCTTACAAAAACAAAGCACATGCTACAGTTTTACTTGACTTGTGATGAATAACCTCTGACTTACTTGGTAACTCTTGTGCTTAACAAATGAATTTTATTACAATTCTGTATACTTTCTTCCTGTTTCTTTCCCCTATGTCTAAGAATGAGATCACTAAGCATACCATTTCTCTATTTCTTTAACAATTTTTAGCTAATTTTAAGATTTGATATTACCCTTTTTCTAAATACTGCATGTGTTAAGAATCTTGAGTCAATGAGGCCTTTCCTTGACACTTAATATGACACAACAAACACCAGTGGAAACCCCAGAATTCTCTAGCTCCTTTATTCTGGGCAATTTTTCCCTCCAGTGCTTTCCATAACCTCATATCCTATTTATGCTTTCTTTTTTGTTTGTTCACTCCGTCTCCTCCCATTGTCACCCATGATCCAGGAGGGCAGGGAGTTCATTTTGCTTACTGTTAGAAAAATGCCAATTTAATGAATTAGACACTCTAATGTCTTGGTTGAAAGAAGTTCAGTGGTGCTTCATTTAATGGGCAATATAAATATCCTACATAAATGTAACATATCCCTTTTAGCACTGAGTCATTTTCTCTTAATAAAATTTTTTAATTTTTACTTTTAATTTCTTTAATTTTTAAATTAAAAAAAATTTTTGGCCATGCTGCATGGCTTGTGGGATCTTAGCTCCCCAACCAGGGATCGAATCTGGGCCCTGGCAGTGAGAGCACTAAGTCTTAACCACTGGACCGCCAGGGAATTCCCTAAATAAAATTATTTTTTTTAATTAATTTATTTAATTAATTTATTTTTGGCTGCACTGGGTCTTCGTTGCTGCGTGAGCTTTCTCTAGTTGCTGTGAGCCAGGGCTACCCTTCATTGCGGTGCACAGGCTTCTCATTGCGGTGGCTTCTCTTGTTGCGGAGCACGGGATCTAGGCGCACGGGCTTCAGTAGTTGTGGCGCACGGGCTCCAGGAGTTGTGGCGCACGGGCTCTAGAGCGCAGGCTCAGTAGTTGTGGCACATGGGCTTAGTTGCTCTGTGGCATGTGGAATCTTCCTGGACCAGGGTTCGAACCCGTGTCCCCTGCGTTGGCAGGTGGATTCTTAACCACTGCGCCACCAGGGAAGCCCGAAAATTATTTTTAATGACACTCTTTCTAAAATTTCTTGCATACTTCTATTCTATGAACACTATGTAAAGATTTTAAATGATTACCTGTGAATGTGAATTATTGGAATTTGTGTTTGTCTAGATCATACCTCCAGGGGTTATTGATGACAAAAGGTCTGTTTAACCCTTCCATTCCATCATGAGGATGGCCTTAGGGATAGCTAATTTCATCTCTACTTACAGATTATAAATTATAAAACTTATTTTCTGGTTGGTGCTTATGTACTGGAAGGAAGAGGGTGCCCAGTTACTGGTTAATCAGGGGTTTCAAGTGACACACTGCTGAACAAGTTTGCCAAGGATTTTATATGTCGACCACTTTCAGATTTTATTTGAAATAAAATTCAAAAACAATACTGAGAAACTTTGCTTTGCAAGACAGTGACATGCTCCAGGCAATTGTTTTAAAGGTTCAGCATTCACTCTACATCGGGGATTTTTAAGTAGATATTTTGCTAGAGACTACAAAGCTAAATGTATAAAGCTTAACTCTGAATGGGATTAACTACTACCTAACTCTTTTGAGTTCTACATACGCAAATCATATTGCATTTCAGAATCTGGAAAATCTTAGGCACTACTTATTATGCAGGAGTGATATAAGGATCTGAGGAACTAAGCTGAAGTTTATTGTAACTCTCATTA